TTTAATTTTTTATTACGATTTTTTCTTGCATGTGTGTCTACCACTTAACCGTAAATGGTTTATCAGGGTCTAAGTTTGCCGTCTCCGTCACTGTCACCGCTACCGCCACCGCCACCGCCACGGCCAACCCTATCCCGTCCATCGAAGCTGTAGTTAGTCAGTCATTTAGCTATACAGTCAAGGCAATCAACCCGCATTTTCCGCCACTTTTGATTGTTTTGTTGCGTGAAAACTCGAAATGAATTCATTGAAGCGTTAAAGCAGCAACAATTTGACAAATTCTTTTTTTAGTGATTCTCATTGTATTTTTTCGTCAACTCTTACGGGTATTCATTCAGTTTTGTGTGTGCGTGATGTTTATATGTTTTTTTTCATTTATTTTTTTTTTGGAAGGGGAGTGCGTTTCCGCGTGTGAGTTCTTGAGTGACTTTTCTGCTTTGAAAATTCCATAGGATATGTGAAAAACATTTAATTACACAATTTTCGACTGACTCTGCCTTTCGAAATGCACTTAACAAATTATAGTGTAATTTGTGGGGAAAGAGTAGAAAAAGAAAATGAAATGGTTAGCTTTTCATCTTCGGAATTGACATGCCAATCGTTGCTTCTTTTCGCCATTCGGCGTCAATTAGAGACACCAAATGACGCCAGGTTCTTGTAAAACTGATCTCTTCGACCGGGTGGCACCAAAGAAACCACGTTCACTAATCATTCGCGTAACCTTTTGCTCTAAAACTCTTAAAACTGACTAAGCGATAATTGCATTATAAAGTAATGATTGCTCTTGCGGAATATTGTCGCTCCTCCATCTTCGGTATTAAGTTAAAGAGGTCATACCAAAACCTGAAACCGCTCTGAGAGGCTCTTTCCGAATCTTAGTTTTGTAAGTTTTGCAGAGTCTCTTACTCTTCGGGAAAGCAATTCCTACGCGGACTCCAATATGGTCTGCTGATGAACCGTTTCTTAAATTGCCGTCGGTTAGAGTATTCGGGCACTGGATCTTTCAGAAGCATTTCCTGAATAGGCTTTTTAACATTGGTGACCAGATCACACCCATTTGATATGGTGTCATCTTTTGGCTGGCTTTATAAGCTCTTCGTAGTCATGCATTTTTGACTGTTGCTTGAAAAATTGTCACTCACCCGCTGTAAATAAAATTCAAAATTACATTATTCCTCTACAGTACCAGTTTTTCTTCCGGCCTGATTGAAAACCAATACGGTAAGGTGGTACATAGAGAGCTCGAAGTGCCGTTTACTTTATATTAAGGTGCAAATGAGTGTTCTCACAGATTAGGTTTTGCGAAAAGCTATTTCGAATTTGTTGATCAGCATTCCCAGGTGGACATAAGCACGCAAGTGTTTTAACAGCGACAAGTTAGTCACTTGAGTCGAGCTTTTGATCCGGAGATGGTCCTTTAGCCTTTTAAGCCTCAGTATCTGCGACTATAGACAACCCCACTTCAGGATTTGCAAAATCGGCGAGCCTAAAGGAAGTTGAATTTATCAATTGTATTTACCTTCTGACGCTTTAGTGGTCCAGCCAGATTTTGGCGAGGAAAGCAGCCACATAATAGATTATTTGACTCATCATTAGATTGACTAATTACCGTGTGATCTCTTCAATTTGATAATGGGAAAACCTAGTAATAGCGGCGTGGCTAAATAGACAAGATAAAATCTTTTTCAAGAGTATAAAACAAGCTTGAACTATGAGCTGTTCGAGTTTATACGATGATATTCACATAGCTCGGTGAATGAAGAGAGAGAGTGTAGTCGCTGGGCTGGGTCATGTTGTCCGAAAGGATGATAGCATTCCAGCTTTGAAAGCACTCGATGCAGCATCAGACGGTGAAAGCACAGGTAGAGGATGGCCTCCACTTCATTAGAAGGATTTGGTGGAGATTACTTGATTTGATGGCTTAAACCTTGAAATAAAACTGTATGAAAATTTACCATGTCTGCGTTGCCAACGAAAGTTTTTACCGCTTTCTATTCTATTCGTTCTGTTTTCGACGCTATGTCAAAAGGGCTATCGACTTCTGTGGAACTCTAACCAACAAGAAACACCTTGATTGAAAGTCGCAGGCACATGCGTTCAAGGCCACTTCGTTGAGCTCCTGCTCACATTATTTCAACTCATGTGTGCCATCAAGAAGTTTCAGCTCTTAAAACAATATTAATCCGAAATTCTTATACATTTATAAAACATTAAATTTGTTTATAAGAAAAAGTCTTTAACCGTGATTAGCAACATTTTTGCTCTGTGTGTAGTGTTGCGAAAACAAATAGCCACTCTCTCGATACCTAAAACATACAGTATGTTGCTACAATTGAGTGAAAACCGGCAAATAAACGAGTTTCCAATGCATAGCCGCCTGCTGCGCATGTGCTGCCAAACGTAAACACAACACGCTCGATGCCAACCGTATGATATCAAACAGAGAACTTAAAATAACGAGAAGGTTCTCTGGTCAAACTACAGAAGTTAAAATTATTATTATAAGTTCTCTTTTCAGCTGATAAATCTAAGTTCCCTAATCAATAAATACACCAAATGAATGTTCGCTAGCAAACAGTTATGTTAAATCGCTAAAAATTTACTGAATTAATAAAATTTATTTAACATTCGTTTATACATACATATATTGTATATTTAATTAGTTTAAATTTAAAAAAGAAATTCTAATAATGTAATCAACAGCACAATAAGCCACTGTCAACAACAGCTGTACGATCGTACAGCAAGACTGTAAACTATGAAACACCAAACAGTTCCACTCGCAGTTGGCTCATGCTCTTCCTCTGTAAGCGGCAAACGCTGTACAGTTGGAGATTTCGGCAATGTTTCAAACCTCCTGTGTAATCATCGGCAATAACATGAGTATAATAATTCATAAAGGCGTTGCTAGTAGGTCAGTAACGAAAACGCTGTGAATGTGTTTGGTAATATCCTTTCTGTTGTAGAGCGTTCGTAACGGGTCTATTGTATGTGTATACTCGTATTTTTGGGATGATCTGAAATAATTAAGCAAATTTACTTAAATACAGTTTTGAATACTTATGTAATTATTAATTGGTTTTTAAAACTATTGGCAAATAATTTAATTTAATTTTTAAAATTTTTTTTCCATTTTTTACACAGTTTAATTGATAATATAATGACTAGGGTGTGCTTGCGAATTTGAATGACATTTTAAAGGAATTTCCAAACATTAGATATTAAGCTGACTGACCATACTCTGTACTGAGCTTTAATATGCGGTTTTAATTTTATTTTATCTCGCTCTCCATCTCCTCAAGATTGATAAGAATTATTGGGAAGTTATGTCAAAATCTTTCAATTTATATAAATTTATTTAGATTTTCTCAAATTGTTGAAGTCGGTTTATTTACCTACCTAATTTTTGCCGAAAAACACAAAACAATTTTTATCGCCTAACAACGCATGTCGATAGTCCCCGGAAAAAGTTCAGCAAAGAGCTAAGCAGACATCAAAAAAGCCGTGTTAAACACGGCTAAACCTAGCACCCCTATGGGTTTTAAGTTCTAGAACTTACACGCGTTAAGGCATGTCTCGAGAAAGAGGCGACAGTCGCCTTTTTATACCGAATCGAGCAGTCAAAGCGTGTCACACCCGCAACATTTCTAGAATACCCGTGCTATTACAACAATAACCCTTAAACCTGTATTGTTCCATACATTTTTTATCGTCGGAAGAATGAGTAAAACTACTAACGGGCTGCTGTCAGCAGCATTAGCTTATGAAATTTGGAGAATTTATGTTATGATTTAAAAATCAATAGTAAAAAAACTATCATCAGCCCGAAAATAACAACAATTAAGCTCGACTAAAAATCTCTCCAGTGGTCATATATCCCGATGAGATGCCAACATTTGGACTCCACACGCGATAGTACGTAATGAATGTACAGAGTATTGATTCTGGGGAAAAGCTCAAGCATTAACATATACACACATATACGCAAAAGCCAACTGGTCGTCACTGCCTACTACCAGTCTGAAGGCCAGGGCTCAAGTCCTGACTCGATCTACATATTAACAAAATTAAAGAAAGTTAATTTTTTTAATCACGGTCGCCCCTCGGCTGAGAAAGTCAAGCCCACTCGAAGATGGCGCCAAACATGATCTTATGCTAAATAAATAAACATTAGTTTTTATAGTACGGTACATATTTATTTGTAAGGCTCGCTTGTTAAAACCAACATACACCGTATACATATGTTTATATATAGTTATGTATATACATAAATCGAAAAATTAAAAAATATTTAAAATATTTTATTAGAAATTTTATTTCCGCTAACCCGAAGACTTTTGTCCTTATTATTAACATTTTTTTCCAATGCTAATTCCTGACCTAATCAATTTATTTGCAAAAAAAACTTTCACATATGTACTTCTGTATGTATGTACACAAATATGTACATGCATGTTAGCACAACAAAATGTTGGTTAAGTTATGCTGTTTTCATCAACAGATGTTATTTAACAGACTTGGGCAAAAAAACACTGTTGCGTCTATGCCACTGCTAACCATACGCAAATGCAGCATTGAAAATGCAATACGTATACAATAACAATTGTTTAATAAGACAAATAGCTATGCATGCGCAACTAACTGCATGCAGCAACAACGCCTATGACAAGCCACGATTACTTGACGCTTCGTGAGTCGTTGCTACTGTTAGACGTTGTAGATTTAACAGTGGCCGATAAAAGCAAACTTGCCAAGTGTTCGTTATTCGGTTTCAGTTTCAGTTCATTCCGGGTATTCGTGCAGGTTGGTAGTTAAAGAATTAATTAGCGGATGGTGTAGAGGCCTCTTACCAACCGATAACATTTAGGCCACAAATACTAAATATTTATAAGTAAATATATTGTGTATGTGAAATTGAAAAATGGAATGATAAGAAAAATATTCAATAAATATAAAAATGAAAATAAATCAAATTGAAAAGGCTAAACATCAAAATTAAAATAAAATCGAATTTTGTGAATTTTCATTTTTCTTGGTAACAAAAACAAATTCAATAATATTCGCGTACTGCTGTAGTATTAGTGTACCATTACATTTGCGGTATGTGCGTGTGTTGCCACAATAGCATACAAAAAAATTACGTTCGATTTTTATTATTAAAACAAAACAACAAAGTGTGAAATGTATGTAAATTCATTCGCAAAAATGGTGAAACAACGTAAATTTCGATAGTTTTGCAAGCAACCATTGGAGCGCGACGGTAATGTTTTCTAACTGTGTGCTCGTATGTATGTTGAAGCGCGTGTAGTTTGTTTGCGGGCGTGAGTGTAAATATTTGTTCGCTCAACAACAATGAGAGTTGTTGATGTTCGTATTACGAAACAATAAATTGAAAAATAAAAAAAATTAGAAGTGAAAAGTGAAAAGTAAGTAAAAAATAATTGGCTGTGAAAATCACAGAAACAAACACATTTGTAATTTGTTTATACTCGCAGACGCCTCAAAGTATGCTGCGTTACCTACATTTTTTGTAACTTTTCAACATTTAAGGCTTTTGTTACGATTTACATATGAGAATTAAAACTAAAATGATCAAATTGAAATTATTTGAAGACAACGGTTTTGTCGTTTTTTATTTTATTTTTTTGTTTTACTTTTTTGTTCAGTGCTTTTGATCTGCTAATAATGTGTACACAACAATTAACGCAATTAGTTTAACAAAGTGAATACATTCAAATGCTTTTATTATTATAAATATACATTTAATACAAACATAAATACATATTGTGTTTTGTGGTTCTAAAAAAGAAAACAAAAATTGCCACAAAATGTTGATAGCTTTCTCCAGCATTGGTTCGAATATTGAATATATATGTACAATGTATATATATATTTTTTTTTTTTTTTTGCAAAAGTGTGTAAAGCCTGTTTGTGGTCAAAATTGATTACAAAATAATTATTTTTACTTTGAAAAATGGATCGAGGTCTACTAAAAAATTTTGAAATTTCTTAAAAGCAAAGTGAATGAAATTCTTAGCAATCAAAATCTTCACGAAGAGTCAAAGGTAAGTTAAAAATAGTGCGTGAAACAAAATGTATGAAAGTGAATTAAGAAAAATTAATTTAAATTTAAATATTAAATAGAAAGTGAATTTATTCTCAAAGCAACAAATAAATTAGTATTTGGATTGTTAAGACCTGTAAATATTGACATTTTAATTCTGATGTTACCGCTGGTCCCGTGGAATGAAGCATAAATTATCAATTTCAACTCAAATTTTTTAAAGTAAAAACTACTACGCCTATTCAGTGAGTGAAATGATAGTTTGAGTTTTGTAAAGAGAAAAATGTCTGCCGTCAGTATTAGGTCGTTTGTTGTTGTTTTAACTAAAAGTTAAACAAAGAGTTGAGGCTATAAACTATTATTTTTTATTTGCATTTGCAAAGTACGTATTATCAATTTATTTTGAAGTAGAGTTTTCACGCAATGCCAATATTAAGGCTCTAAAAGACACGTCCGAGGATTAACTTCTATATTTCCGTTTCGGCTAAGTAGTAAGGAATCAGAAATGTTGATTTTATTGCCTGTTTTGTATATCACAAAACCAACATTCACTTTCACTTAAGCTATGTTAACTTCAGTTGAAGGTCAAATCCTTCACCAAATCTTGTTCGCTGTAAGCCTGTAATACATTATATGCAGCAGCTGCTGAAATCAGTCGACTTCACTTCCCTCAAGTAATTTTATTTTACAGCTTCAATTGAGTCGAAACGGGTTCCACGTAGTAATAACTTGAGTTCTGGATATAAAAACGTCGCAAGTCCGGTGAGTACGGTGGTTGATCCTTGGTATTGAACGAGTATTTGGCCCTAAAATCGTTCATAACTACAGATCGGTGCGTTGGTGCAGTATCGTCATTGTTGGCCCATAATTCCGGCAGTTTACGATGAATGTTTTCGCGCAAGTGCCTCAAAACGCTCAAATAATATTCACTTCTGACCGTCTGTCGCGTTAGAATGAATTCATGATGAACTAGACTGCGAATATCGAAAAGAAAAAAAATTTCCGGAAACTTTCTGCTCAGTGAAGAAATTGGCGATGTCAAATTTCAGACAGATCTGGAAAGAGTCTGACATATAGAGCACTGAAAGCTAACTAAATATTATAGTTGATAGAGCTCAAATACAACATCGTTGTTCTGGATTAGTTTCCCGACTTACAGACAAAAGGAATTTTAGAAATCTTTTTAAGTGGTACTTTTCTAATAGAATTTACATATGTGTTTCATATTTTTATTTCGAATTACTTTAGGGTGGTTGTATTTCTATGGAGTGATTATATTTGGGAAACACTCCATAAACGCGATTTTCAAAATACAGCCAGTACAATTTAAGACGATTCTAGAAAAGCTCACAGTTCTAACAAGGAACTTTTCGTTGTAGCCACGAAATGGATAATCTGTATAATGAATATAATTTTTTAAAATTAAATTTTAATATTTGGCAAAATTTTAAGTGGAATTGATTATCGCGTAGAGTTTTTTTATTGAGTTTTGAGATTTTCATTTCTCACCATGAGATATACATTTATTTCGCATGGTTGCCATGTTTATTGCTTGAGTGTGCCGATATGCTACTATATAGCAGATTTGCCTATATTTTGTTGTAATATTTTTCGATAAGTTAATCAACATCAAAATTGGTTCAACTCCTTCGCTTTGAGATATTACGGTTGTTGTTTGATTTTGAATATTTTCAAAGAAAGTTCAGATTTCATCATTTTGACTTGCCAGTTGAAATGAGTCAGTTCAAAAATATTAATTAAGTTGAGTTAGCCTCCCTTTTTCCTTCATTTCAAAATTGATTTCTCTATAAGCGCAGTTACTATTTTGAAACGACTTTTATATATTTATTTTCAATACAATTGGAGTTTGAGTGTTGCGAAAATTGTCGAACTGCTGGCCATTTATAGGTGAAAAGAACACTAATATATATTTATTTCTCATAATATAAATATATGTTGAGATTTTGGTGTTATTTTTCAATCATTCCTATATAAAAATATACGCAAACACATTAGTTTATGTTCCGAATTGAAATTGATATGATTTATACATTGGCCCGAATAAATATGAATAAACTTTCTCTTCGCTCATAAAAAATATTCCACATTGGCATTAAATGGAATTAAAAAAAATTGCATGCATACCTACGTACTTACATCAGCAAAGTATTTGTCACACTTAAATAACAAAAATTGTTTTAATGACCTATTTTATAAATTATATAAATATAAAATAGCTTATTTGTAAAAGCCGCGTTTAAAGCAATTAAATTATAATTAATTACCTATAAATACGAAAATACATATTGTAATATATGAATGAACAGCGCGTTGCAAAAAAAAAATTAGGGTTTTTTTCGTAATTTGCATTGAACAAATGATTGAATATTAAAAAGAAAAAAATATATATCAAATAATTAGAGAAATAAAATAACGAAACACAATAAATAAAAATTATTAAATATATACGCTATCTGCAATGTCTAACAGTGAATTAAGCATAAATTTTATTACAACTTTTTATGAAAATTTTTTTCTAATAAATAAAATAAATTAAAAAAAAATAAAATAAAACAAAATAAAATAAAAAAAATATAATAAAATAAAATAAAATAAAATAAAATAAAATAAAATAAAATAAAATAAAATAAAATAAAATAAAATAAAATAAAATAAAATAAAATAAAATAAAATAAAATAAAATAAAATAAAATAAAATAAATAATATAAAATAAAATTAAATAAAAATATATATTTAATATAAAATAAAATTAAATTATATTAAATGAAAAAAAATAAAATAAAATAAAAACAATATAAATTAAATTAAAGTCAAATAAAATATGTTAAAACATGAACACAAGAAAAGAAATTAAAAGAGGTAAATGGAATATATAATAAAACAAAAATCTTCATGCGTGTGAGTATTAGAAAAATTTGAGTTTTTGATAAAAATAATTTTTTTTATAAATTCCAGTGATCCCGTTTCAATTTAAAATATTTCATTGTAACCTATATCAGTGCACAATATCCAACTGTGAATGGGTTATTTAAAGAATCATTCGCCCAGCGACTAAGCCAACAGTGTTTCATAGTTAGACATACATATAAATTACACCAATTATTTACTGCTTATAACAGTGTATATAAAGTTTACCAAATACCACCGCTCCGCTAACGCAACTTGAAGTTAACTGAAAAAAAGCAAGAAAATTATTAGAAAAGTTTTGCTGAAATTTTCACTTTAATAGCCTCCACCACCCATCGTCGGTAGCTACGCGCCTCGATATAAATGCTTTAGTCTTTAGTCTTTACCATTTTACGGCAACACCAGTTAATGTACGCCGCGGCGGGTATTGCCGAATTTTGACAGTTTATCATGCTGTTACGGCTATTCGTCGGTCGTTTCCTCTTTCGTTTGTTGCCGAAAATTGTACTTTAATTTAAATTTAATTGCCAAATATACAACACTCCTGCCACTGTTTTCACTCTTCCATTTTTTACTTTCCTTCTTCCTCTCGCCCACATTGTGTATTCTTCGCCCAACTCAACTCAAAGGGTCGCAACTTTTGCTAAATACATTCAGGACGCAACTGTGCGGAAGTTTCCAACAACTCCGCCATTGCTTAGCTCACACAGCTGTTTCCGCCATACATCAACTACATACTCGTACATAACTCTCATCGCGTTGCCGGCAATTGGCAGTCAACTAAGCACTGCTTGCATCAATAATTGAGAGTGGAGTAAATCAATTATACTTGCTTGCCACACGCTTGTGCGCTTTCAACTGTTTAACTTTCATTGCTTAAGCTTTGATAGCCTGATTTTGCTGGAATTTACAATTTTACTTCTGAAACATACGCCCAGTCTCTCAATTACGAGTATAATAACAAAATATTTATACTGCAGTGAATAAACGAACATAAAGAGTGTTACCTGTGCTGCCGCTCTTTAACGAGTTTCCCTATCCTTGTTCAGTTTCTTTCCGGAAATTATAATATAATATATTCTCTTTTGTTGCTAATTAATTGTTGCACACCACCAAATGATGATTATTTGTTGTCCAAAGGAAGGAGAGTGGAATATTTACATTGTTTGGCTGTGAAGGATATTTTGTAGTTGAATTTCACTGGAAACGATTTAATGTTAATATTTGCAAATTTTTCTTTTTGATGTTAATGTCTATTGTCTGTAGAAAAGAATTTGAATATTAAATTAATTAAATGCCTTCAATGATGAAAATTGCTCAGTCCACTTTGCCATGGACAGAATGAATGAATGATGAAATTAATTTCATATAGAACAACGTAAAGACCTCAAAGATCCCTTTGTATAGAAGTTAGTAAAACCTCTTTTTCTACCAGACTCAATTTGACACAAGTCGATCAAAACCAACTAGATGAAATTCCACAGTCTTTCCACAAAGAATGTCTGCAAAGAATCCATAAAAGATGACCGGCAGGGAGTGTCCACACTTACAAGTATATTTTTGGCTTGAAATAAAAGTTCCCGAAATGAAAATAAAATACAATAAACGAAATTTTTATTTCGTTCAATTTTTTATTATTATTATTTTTACAAATCTCACTACTAATATTTCTTCTATAATTTGTGAAGAGAATATTTCCTATATTTCAATTGTGAAAATTGATTAATTTTTATACAATAAATATTGAGCATTTAAATAAAAAATCAAACTAAATTTTATAATTGCCGTTGGCTATAAGCAGGGAATGTCCACCCCCCGAGTGTATTTCGGACATGAAATAAAGCTCCTCATAAAAACCCCTCAGCCGTTCGAAGGCGGCTTAGTACAGAGTGTGGGTCCCTCCATTTGTTGGAAAAGGGGGAGGAGCTCGACGGAAAATCACTTCAGCGTCTATGACCTTTCGTCTTTTTTCCCGTAATTTCACAGTTCCTTTAGTGCAAAGCTTCGGCTATTCGGTTTGTCGGCAAAGAACTTAGCCAAATGATTTTCAGCGGAATTTCGGTCAGCAGAGC